ATATATTGCAAGTTGTGTCAGAGGAAAAAAAATGTAGGTCTCCGTAGCTGCAAAGGTTGAAACTTTTTAAATTATTATTTTTAAACATGTTTTAAAGAAGTTTAGGTATTCCTTAAACTGAACATAAATTATTCATCAGATCACATTAGTCCTGCTGAAAAGAAACATTTAAGTTCAAAGTAATGTTTTTGTTCAATTATTTAAAAGGTCATTTAAATTATTAAGTCAAAAGTAAAAGAGCTTATGCTGAACTGTATTAATAGTGCAGTTTGAAAGAGTTCACTTCAGATACATCGATATGTAATTCAGAAATGTGGGTCCAACTTAAATGTAAACAAAGCACTTTTACCTGCGTACTTAACAAATCTGAACGTAAATTAAAAAACAATACATTAAAACTGACAGCCGTCTTCATTCCAAATGGTTTAGGAGTTGTTTAGTAAATTAGTGCCACAGTGTTGCTACTACCCATTTAAATTATTTATTTACAACAGTGAGCATTAAAAAAAACAAAACATTTTAAACGGTTTTCATTAAAATCAACTCACGCTGGCAAAAGCTTTGGGAAAAAAAAGAAGCAAAATTTATTTGTCTCCATCAACGAATCACATCTTTTGATTCCAGCCATTAAATGAACACCCAACAAGAAAATTTAAACCTTGTGCGGTTAAAATTTACAAAATAAATCCTTAATTGTGAAAAAAACAACTAAAGAGAGTGCACAGGAAGAGTACCTGCACTTTTTCAGTGTTAAAACTCGCACATTTTTTTAATTTTGAAGATTTACGCAGCTGATTAATAAGAAAATGTGTTTTGTCAGCCACACCAAAGCACGAGAAATTTTATTTTTGCCCTTCAATTATCCAAATAAGTAAAACTGTGTCAACACCTACATCCAGATATTGTGAGCGCTGGGACAAATTCTTTAATGGCTTTCCTGAACCTCAAATGCATCAAAACTTAACTGCTACCTAAATTTTAATTTTACAAATTTGATCATTGGCTCAGAAAGTGGTTTATTGTCATTGAACTCATTGATAATTTAATTACTTTTACATATAAGACAGCTACAGTATTGCACATACCATTGCAATCCCCATACAAACACACACACACGTTCAGAATCTCGCACACTCAAAACCGTGTCCAATGTTTAGTGCGCATCCCACGACACGATAAACAAAACATTCCTTGAAAATGTAAAGGGAAAACAAATAAAAAATAAAAACAGCCTGTCCACTGACAGGGCCCTCTCCTCTGGTGCCTGACCAGTGTTTTCTGACCCTGATGAATCCGGATCCATCTAGTCCACTCCAGTCGTCACATCACGTCTCGCCTGAGTGAGTCCACGAACACGGAGTTGTAATTAAAAGGAAACTCTCTGCTGCCGAGCGTAGCCTGTGGGGTACCTTCACGCGCTGTTTTAAAGGAAACTGTCCGTGGTTGGGATAGAAGTGGTAGAAACTGTATTTTAGTGGTGGCGGGCCTGAGATAGCTTTATGTGGATCAGTAGGTGGCGGTGGTGGGTTCCCTCCCTGAGCTGAAGAGCATGTCTGCCTTTGAGCTGATGAAGAACGTCAGGAGGAGAGACGATAGCAACACGCCGATGCCCACACCGAGCGTCAACATCTAAAGGGAAAGAGAAAAAAGAAGGTAAAACTTGTGAATCGTTTACAAAAACGTCAAAAGTGTTTGCATCTTCGGAAGCCTGTTAATAACGCGTGTATTCAAATCAGATGCGTCATAACAGGAAAAACACCTAAACGTTGTAACCAAGTTTTATTTAGTCAAACAAGAAATCAAGGATGAAAAATAATCTTGAAGATCTGCTGAAGGAAACAACTACAGTAAAACGTGCAGGATAGTGGCCTTCGAGGACCAGGACCGGACACCACTGTTTTAAGAGAAAGTAAGTTTTAGTGATCCCTGGTTCTAATAGACATTTTTAACATTTCAAATTAATGTATTAGGCATCTCCAGGCCATTCCAGAATCGTACATTTATATGCTAATGTGATTATCGAACAAAAGAGCTTAAAGTTTAGCCCAGATTTAGTAAAAAAATAATAATAATTTCAAGTACTAAATGCTGTGTTTCCCCTACCGCTACCCAAGGAGGGCGCCCCACCTTGTCACAACAGAAACAAGCGCCCCGCCTACTCAAATGTCCTTCACCCATAACTACGTCCGTCACGATAACAAATTTTGCTGGGCGATTAATTGCCTCAGAAATTATTGCGATAAACGATAATATTGTTTGAAATTGGACAATAATTAGTAATTATTGTCAAATTTAAAAATCCATGTTGGTTAATTTGTTTCGAGTGTAGTGCCTTTTTTCGACCACCGGATGGCAGTATAAGACTGTTTGAACCGAAGGATGGTATAGTGAGGGAGCGAGTAGCGTGTCTCTTTAAGAAAAATGGGAGGGAGGCCTCTTGACGTGACATGGGCTGAATCTCGTTCCTGTTTTTCAGTTCTCAAAATGGCGGACGCTCGGTGTGGTTTGAGCTCTTTAGCATAGCATTTTTCACTCAAAGCTTTTAATAAAAACATCAGTAAACAAGTTCTCAGCTTCTTTTTGCAGAGAAAAACAACTTTTTACACAAAGGCACGGGTTTCAACCGTGAATTTTGGAGCTTCGACAAGACAGAGTTTTTTTCCCTGAGGTCGGCCTGTTAGCTTAGCTCGTAGCTTGGCTTCTCAGCTTAGCTGCTTTTAACGATCCAAAAATGCGATTCTGGACGGTTAACACAGATTTTAAAGAGAAAAGAAAAAGGGAGGGGTCAGTGAAGAACACCGGAGTCGAGCCTTTTGTCATCCAGTGTCTTCAGTAGAAAGAGAGAGACACGAAGAAACGATAAAACCGATAAATGAAAACGAGGTCGATAATTTTAATTTATCACGCGATTAATTGATTTGTTTATCGCGGCAGGACTACCCACAACCTCCACACAACCCCACCCGATCAACAATGGCTGGCACTAGCGTCGCGCTAAGCTAGCGCACAATACAGACGTAGCATTACGCTTCTATCACGCCCCCACCCCCCTGGTCAACAAAAACCCAGAAGAGACGAGCGCACTCCCAAAGCAAGAACACAGAAATGGTCCACTATAGAGGCTAAAGCTCGTTTGACATTTTACACCACAACTTTATTTGACATGTTCCTATATTGGGGAAATTTTGGCCCAGTGGTGAAGAGATGATCTTCCATTCGGCGGTTCGATCCCCAGCCTCTGCCGAGTGCCCAAGTGTTTTGGAGCAAGATTCTGATTCCCCTACTGCCCCTGATATGCTTATCTATGCATGAGTGCAGATACACTGAATACACTTTTAATACTACGTACAGATAAAAGTGCTGCATATAGGCTGTAAAATGTAAAGAAAACATTATGAGTGTGTGAATAAAAAAAATACTGTAAAGCTCTTTAAAGAAGTTAAAAAGATGCAACCTGTGTTTGATTTGCTTTAAAACAGAGATGTCTGACATCTATTCAAAATGAGGCAACAACTGTGCAGTCAGGTTATAAACGCGCAAGAGATTTGTTTTTTTTAATGCACAGACATCCGATAAGGTTTAGGTTTTGTTATGAATACGAACAGACTGGCAAACAGCTTCTTTGTTTTAAAGAATATAAAAGTATGTGTAGGATTTCAGAACCGCTGTTGTTGTGGCTACAAGTAAAGATTGGATCCATTATAACTAATCAGCAGCCTGCCTGTGTAATAATACATGTCGACACTAAATAAAGACGTTTTGTTTTCCATTTAACTAAGCCTCGAGTAGAAAAGTCGGTTTGACATGTATTTTAGTCTTATATCAAAGTCATCAGCTTCAAATACGAGGTTGGGATTTTTGACTGCTAACGCTCTGGTAAAAATATATATGCTATTATGAACTTACATCTGACATAGTAATGAAAAAACCTGATTAAAAATATTTAACCACAGATGTCGGCTTCTACAGATGTCAACAACAAAAACAAAAGAAGTTTCTTATTGAAGTTGCTGTGAAGTTAATCACAGTGTGAAGATGAACCTCATCTCCCAACAGCCTGGGAACATTTATTACAGTCTACACGAAAAACTTGTTAAAATGAAAAGTTGGTGCTGATGGAACAGTAATGTTTATTACACAACAAAACTGTTGTCTGTATTAGACTTTTACAAACTGAACTCAAATGAAAAGTCTAAAAAGTCTGCTGTTCTGTCTCACATTAAATAGTTTCTCATGCGACACACCAAGTATAAACTATTCAACTGGTTGAATTTTAATGTAACCTCTGAAACAATCTGACCTTCACTGTTAAAGAAACGTGGTGAAACCAGAAATACTTTTAGTGACTGACGCTCCAAACTCATTAAAACTCCACAGCAGCTTTAAACGGTTAGATAACAGGGATGATTTATTACAGCGCGACGCAACGATGAACGTGCACAGACTTGAACCTTGTTAACAAACATACACCTCTGTCCAGGTTTGCAGTTTCTCTGCCTGCTGTTGGATCAGGACACTTCTGCAAAACAGCAGAACCTAGTTTTCAGGGAATATTAAAAAACGTTAAATATTAAATCAAAGTCCTAACTCGGTGGATGGACACAGGAAGTGTTTGGTAGCTTGCTGCATTATGGAAGTTGCTCCTTAACAACCAGACACCTACAAAACAATCCCTTCTCTCCAGATACCAGTTAGGGGTGGGGGTTAAAATCAGTTTATGGACGCTTTGCATCGGAGGACGTGAATATATTGAATTAACTTTCAAATGTCAAAAATCAGCTCTGTTAAACTTTAAGAGTCGGTAGTTGCCATTTGTTTAAGTAAAGCTGTGTTGCCACATATTTTCTTTGCTGAACTCTGAAGACTATTTGTCTGTAAATAATATGATGTTATCATAACATGACTGTGTTTAGTAATGATTAGAGCATTTAATGTGTGTATACATTTTCAGTGATTAACATGATGCTAACACCATTAGCTTTTCTATGGCGTTTTTTGTGTTACATTAGCATTTATGCTAACTGCTGGTCAGCAGCTTTTGATTAAGATGGTTTTGTGGCGTTTCTTATTGTGCACTCTTTATTATACAAATATATATTTATTTAAATCAGTGTTTTTATTATGTTGAATTGGTCATAAATGGTACATTTTGTTCGTCTGTCTCTGTTTAAGCTTCATAATGTTATGTAAAAATATGATAAGCTTGCCAACTGACTTCAGGTGTTTATTCACAAACCTGATAACAGCAGATAATCAAATGTAATTCAATAGAACTACAAGAAGTTTCCCACCCTTAGTGCCAATAAATAGTTTTCAATCAGGACAACGCAGCATGAACATCTCAGGGATAAATTTACCTCCAGGTCGTGACTAGCTACCAGGAATATGCGCCCACTGATATGTTTCCACCTGGACTCGGTCCACGTCGAGTAATTTTTGGAGGAATAATCCTTGATTTCGAACGCCGGGGAAACCGCTTTGGACACATGAACTGTAGAGCGAATGCAGAAACCGTCCCGCTCTGTACTGTTGGGAGGCGCTGCGCCTTGAGCCCAGAGGTAGTAGTAGATCTGAAAGAAAAAGAGCCAAGAGGTGATGAATTCACTCTTTAAAAGAACTCCTGCAACAAAATGAATTACACTTCTGATTCAAAATATATTAGTTTATCTTTTATTTTTATTAAGTGAATAACATGAGGGTGTTGTTCTTATAATGTATCATCATTTAGCACATTGTTTACAACTCAAATCCAGTCAACGACACAAAATAAAAGCTGCTGTAAATCTCACATGTTTGCTCTCCTTGTCGTCTTTATCCTCTCTCTGGTTTTTACAGTTTTCTTGAGTGATGTTGACGGTGCTGCCGGTCAGATTAGCCAATAAGTGCTGGACAAGCAAAGTTACCTCGCTGGACCCCGCAGTCACACCGATATAGAAGTTTGTGGTTTTGTTGCCTGAAAGAAACAACAAATTAACATTTGAAAATAGCGTAAATTTAAAAAATAATACCTTGTGCCACCAAAACCTCCGCTTTGAATGTCAGCAAATTGTCTCTTTTTATACAAAGCGAACAAAATTTAGCCAGATTTCATCCATTTCTAAAAATTTGAGGCAATAACAACAAAGGTAACGTACTGATTTGTTTTGCGTACTCAGACGGGATGAACTGCTGGAACCAGGAGTTATTGGCCATAACGAGAAAACTGTACAGCATTCGGCTCACCTGACACAAAATAAGGACACACAGTTTAGCTAACCAACGTCATCAACACATTAGAAACGTTTTTACCAACAAGGAATAATTAATTAACTAATTGTTTTTACAAATAAATGCTGTAAAATACAATTTATATATATATAAATTTAGTTTATCCACATATAAAAATCGTCCTACCAGCAGGTCGTCTGCCTGAATGCTTCGTGACTGGTTTTTGTCTCCTCCAGCTTGTACATACAGTGTTCGAGCCACCATGGTTGCCACCTTAGTCAGAGCCTAAAAAACCATCAAGAGAAAAATAATATTTTAGAGCTGCTGCTGCTGCTTGACCAGAATGGTTTGAAACTGTAAAATAAATAGAAACATTGTAAAATAGAGAGCTTGTTTGTTTTGTCAGAAGTTTCCAATTTTAACTAAAACAGCAAACAATCACTGATGGCTTATATTCACCTTTCTGCTCTGTTTGAGAGGGGGAAATGACTTTTCATCATTTAAATGTAGGGATGCACGATATTATCGGCCGATATTAGCAACAAAGTTAAATATTGGACATGGGCCAATTCATCAAAATAACTCACCGATATAAAAAGGTGCTGTTATATATACATATATATATATATATATATATACATATATATATATATATATATATATATATATATATATATATATGTATATATACACATATATACATTCTTTCAACCTTTATTTAGACAGGTTAATCCCATTGAGCCTTGGGTTACATCATTTTCAGCTCCTTTTTGGCATCTGCATTTGGTAACAGGCCAAATTGGCAAAGATCATGCAGAATAATGTAGTATTTTAATTCCACAGCAGAGAAAGCTATGTAGTCTCTGTAAGTAGGTCTAGGAAAAAAAAAAATCTGTATTGGTATCGGTTATCGGCCAAATAAGTTTTAACATATCGGCCAAAAATCCAACATCGTGCATCCCTATTTAAATGCTATTATTGTATAATCTGCCTTTTTTTAAAGGCACACAACTGTTTCCTTTTTAACTTCAGTTTTACTTTGAGCAACTATAAATACATTGCCACTAAATCAATAAGTAAACCCATTTAATGCAGCGTTTCCCCTAGCATTACCTAAGGGAGCGCCCCCACCCCAAAGGAACACCCAATACAAAAGTCCCCCCCCCCCCACAATAAACGTCTATACATAATTGAGCCTTACCAGACGGCAAAGCTGATACATCTTCACAGCTGGCCTTTAAACTTCCCCTATCAAAACGATTAGAATACTCAAATATCTGTCTAGAAAATCTAGCCTATAGTTGGGGCGGATGCTGAAAATTATTCACAGGGGGGTAAAAAAGGGGGGGACAGGAAATTTTTGAAGTGCGGCACTCTATGTCTCTTGATCAGTGAAGAAGCGTGCCCATCACGACTGGGCCTTCTCTACCTGATCAAACCTCACAAACAAGGACATCAGTTCAATTGTATTATAAAAAAACTACAGAAACTGCATGAATGCTGAATATTTGCTTAAACGTGTTCAGGAATTAATTTTTAACTGAACTGTTAAGAGTTTAAACAAGCCAAATAGAGACTACAATCACGTAACAGTAGCTAAAAGCTGAAAATACCTAAATTATGGCTAAATCCTAAATGCAGAAAACAGTACTAGAAAAACTGTAGCTAAAGCTAAAATTAGCAAAAACATACATAAAGCTACAGTTAAAAAACAACTAACCAAATAGAAAATTTGTAGTTAAATGCAGCAAAACATTAGCTTAAAAGATAAAATTAGTTAATTTGTAATTAAAGCTTTTTAGCAAAACTGCAGCTAAAAGCAAAAATTTGCAAAACAGTGACTAAAAGCTAAAATTTGCTAAGCTAATTAGCTAAGCTAAACAGCTAAGCTGTTTCTAAAGTCTATGATAAACAAAAACATACACAAAAGCTAAAGTAATAAACAATAGCTGAAAGCTACAGTGCAGCCACTACAAATGCAAATATCTGGAATTAAAGGCTAAACTTAAATTATTTGTGATAATTAGTTGTAAATAGTAAACAGTTGAGAATCTGAGAGCTGAATTAACTTTAAAATCCCATCTGAACACAGAGGATGAACAGTACCTTAGCAGTGTCCGTAACAAAGTTCAGCTGCTCCTCTGGCGTCAGGTCCGGTGGGTAGGACACATTCAGATAGTCTGCGTTGTCAAACATACTCTGGTAGAATCTGCGTACAGAACAGAGAAACTAATCGTTTGCTGGACCACCACTGCAGTTAAGTTAAAATGAGCTAAAACAGCTCAAGATGCTAAAAAACATTGATCTAAAACCTGTTGGTGAAACTGGTTTGGTGGTTCTCTATAACGACTCCGGGGATGGGCCGAGCTAGCAGGAACCGCTGGAAGGAAGATGGAGGCAGCGGCTGGGTGACCCTGGGCTCCTCTACAGAGAAATTTAAATCTTTGGCAGCCGAGTTCAAGTTGTTGAGGAGCTTCGTCACCTGCAACAAACCATTAAAAGAACATTTACGTATTTAATACTAAATAGCAACACGCACGGTGAGCTCCGTGTTTTATGGCCACTTCCTTCTTTGAACATCTACTAAATCTCATTGTTACCAGTTAAAATGGAATTAAAGCAAATAAAAGCATTGAGAAATTTATTTTTCATCGTGTAAGTCACACCTTTTTACATAAACTTGCAAGTCCTGCGACTTATACACCGAAGCGACTAATATACGTTTTCCCCCCCCATATTTATAATCCAACTTTTGGCTGAGATCTGACGATTTCATTCATTCTGACATGAAAAATAAAAAACATATGTGCAGCCGCTAGAGGGCCCTTGACTAATATGGAAAGCCAAATGTCTCATTAATAGGTAAAAGTGGCTATTAATGAGACACTTGGCTTGCCATACAAAGCCACCTTCATCTCGCTCCAGAACTTGTGGAGCAAACGTCAAATCAGCTGCATTTCGCCGCGCCGCCCAGGTGAGGTGCAGCTGATTTGATCGTTAAAGTGCATTTATTAAGGAAAAGTTAGACTGAGACGCACCTTTACTATAATGTCGAGCAAACAAATAATTGTTTTTAGACGGTTATCTTGTTAAATTTAGAAAAAAATGCACAGCGAGTCCACTCACTGCGCGCTCCCACAGCCGCGAATCAATTTTTGAAATGCAGCTGATTTGACCGTTAAACTGCATTTATTAAGGAATAGTTCAACTGAGACACACCTTTGCAATAACTTCAAGCAAACAAATAATTGTTTTTAAGTGTTAATCTTGTTAAATTCTTGTTAAAGCCCTCCCGTGCACGCTCCCGCGGCCACCATTTTGGCAGCCAATTGATTTTTGGCACAACACCGGCCCACGTTTCCGGTTTGTCAGCGGTGACGCGTAATAGATGCGACGTATACAGCGAAGCAACTTATTTATGTTTTTTCCCATTTTATTAGACATTTTTGGACTGACACGACTTATACAGCAGTGCGACTATTACGGTGGAAAATACGGTAAAAATATTAAACTAAACACTTGTTACATGATGCATTAAATAGATATAATTACTGATTTATTAAAAAAAACTGTTTAACAAGCACTCTGTGACTAAATTAGCAATAAACCCTAATGTGTAGTTTCTGCAGCGCTAGTTGCACGTATTTTGTGTCTCAACAGAGAAGAAATGCAAACCTCTTCGTTGACGCTGCTGTTCTTCCTGGACACGGGATCAGAGTGAAGCCAGAGCTTTGAGTCACCATGAAGACCCACCTGGAACGAGAAAATTCAACACATTAATCATTGCAAATATCACTTGATATAAAGTTTGTATTTTTGTTTTGCTTTTGTTGTAAAGAGATTTACAGTAAGAAGATATAAAAGGTTGTGTTCACGGCAAAAGTGTAAAAACAAACAACAGGCAGAGATCAAGTGCACCAGCATCTCTGTTCATGCATTTTATCGTGAATTATTTTCAAGAAATTTGGTAAATACAGTATTTTAACTGAAAGTGATACAACTTACCTGTCCGATCTCCAGCACTGAGTGAACGTTGTCCAAGTCCACAACAAACTGATTTTTCTCCATGTCATACACCATTCTCGAACTGCCAATGTAGTCAAATGTTTCCTGTGGATAAAAATAAATACATGAAAACATTTAAAAGACGAGCAGCAGATCCTCATTTACATCAGCTGGGTTTGTTAGTCAAAAAGCAGATGTTCAAGCTGAACTAACCCCGTGGAAGAACGTGTACAAGATGGTTCTGTTGAGCTGATTGTCCTGAGTGAAGTTGCGCAGAGCGTTGGCAGCCGCCAGAAGAGTGACGAGCCCTGCGGCGGTGCTCTCTGCTCCAGGAGCCACATCAAAGAAAAATGACCTGCTGTCGATCTGCAGACACGGCGAGACACAAGAGACAACAACACAACGTAACAGGTTTATTTCCTCAACAAGTCAAATAATACACGGCTGCAAACATTTAATGAACTGAACAGAAATTAATTTATTATCTGTTTATTTTCATCCATGCCCTGAAGGAGATCAACTCAAGATTTAGAACTCTTTCTGGTTTAAATTATTCATTTAACTGAATATTCTCTGTCCAATGAGGAAGACAGAAATATTATTACAATACAAACTTAAAATCATTTAGTATATTTTACTTAGTTTACCATCAAAGCAATTATTTACTATATAAAAAATGTACAAGACTATTCTAAATCAAAAAATCCTACAAAGAAAGGCTGGCTGTGAGTTAACCCTGGAAAGATACTACCAGCTGCATTCTGGGAAATGTAGGACAAATGTGACCTTTGTAGCTTGGCTACTAATGAAGACCGACAACTAACTAATTAGTAAATCTTCACGGCTCCCTTTTAAGCATTTAGGAGTTTAATCTAAGAGATCTTATGGTTTTATGCACATCAGCTTCGTGTTAACATCAGAAAGTACCAAAATTGGCTTTTTTAGAAGTTCTGCTATTTGTAGCTATACTGCTAGTTTATACTTGAGCTGGGGGTCTTGCTTTAAACTTAAGTAACTTCAGAAAATTGAAGAAATTTAGCTTTTATTAACCTTAAAGAACTAATAATGAAAAATTAAGGGCCGGATCAGGAGTTTTGTGCAGGGCTGGAACTTCAGCACAGCTTTTAGTCATATGACTGAAAATTCTTCTTTAAACTCACGTGAGCATCAGCCCTGCTAATCGGTAACACGTGTTCTCCCGTTGGAGGTTTTGTCACGGGTCCTGTTGGGCTTGAACTTGTTAAATTTTTATAAAAGACAGAAACTCACCCTGGCTGCTGCGATGATCACAGTCTCTCCTGCCTTGTGGCCCTTGGCGGTGTTGTTTAGAGGGTTGGTGGAGGCCCAAACGTTAAAGTCACCCAACGGATCACACACATCTTCTGACAAGACACAAGAGGCAACCACGGGCGTCAGTTCAATTGTAATAAAAGAATAAAACTGAATGAATGCTGAATATTTTCTGAAATATGCTGAAGAATGAATTTTTTAACTGAACTGTTAAGAGTTTAAACAAGCCAAACAGAGGCAATAATCACCCAACAGTAGCTAAAAGCTGAAAATAATGAAACAGTAGCTAAATCTTAAATGCAGAAAATATTTGCTAAAATCAGAAAAACGGAAGCTCAAAGTCAACATTTGCTAAAACATACATAAAGCTAAAGTAAAAAACAAAAAACTATATGCTGAAAATAGGAAATTTGAAGCAAAGTGCAGCAAAAAGTTGCATTAAAAGCTAAAATTAGCTAATATGTACTTAAAACTCTTTAGCAAAATTGTAGCTAAAAGCTAAAATTAGCAAAACAGTGACTAAAAGTTAAAATTAGAAAAGCTGTTTCTAAAGGCTATGATAAACAAAAATGGACATAAAAGCTAACATAAAAAATAGCTAAAGCTAAAAATGGTAAACTTCAGCTAAAAGCTAATCACACCAAAACAGTAGCTAAAAGCTAACATTTGCAAAATACTAGCTAAAAGGAGGCCAAAATAGAGCAACCACGTCAAAGTAGATTTCAGAGAACAATATTTTAGGAGTTGAAGAGATCACAATGCAAAAAACAAAATTCTTCCCGACCGAGTCAAACCTTTTGACAAATGAATTGTTAAAATAGAACCAAGTACAAGGAAGGTCTTTGTAAAAAATTGCATGAAAATAAACTAATTTTCATCCAAGACTTTCTGCATTACACTGGTTTGAGCTGTTGTAATAGTCAAAATTATGAATAATAAAAAAAAAAAACAGATTGAATGCTCATGAAGCAGTTCTGAATTTGTACTTGTGCTGTGTAAACACCTGGGTTCAGGCTGAAATTGATGCTACTTCTCCTTATGCAGGTGACCGTGTCAGTGACGGCGGACATGTGGGAGAAAAGCTGCATGGCACACAGAGGGTACCGAGGGGCGCTGCCGTCCAAAGGTCGATTATGGTCCATGTAACACTAGAAACAAAAAAATAACAAGTGTAAAGTTCACCTGTGTGTGGGTTTGTGTTTATAGAAACACACCTCGATCCCTTCAGCATCTTAAATAGTTTCCAGTATTTTGAACAAGTTGAAGCATATACAACTCAGCCTGGTGGTCTTTGCTCAGAGGCGCAGTGGCAAGTTTTGAAACAGTAAAATGTGACTGCATGTTTCATACAGAAGCTGCCAGAGAGGATCAAAACTGAAAGTGACAGTTTTGATCATTTACCCTCATTTTTTCTAAAAAAAAAAAAAAAAAAAAAAAAAAAAACAGAAACAAGCTCATACAAATAAACCCTAAAAGTAACAAATACGTCACAAAACTCTTCACGGGTTACAATAGAACTACCATTAGGCAAGTAAACTATTATTAGAGGCATGAACCTGAAAGTTGAGATAAAACAGAACTGAAAGTTACACTGAACAAAAATAAAATAAACCCAACACTTTTGATTTTGTTCAGTTTTCAAGAGCTGAACTCAAAGATCTAAGACTTTTTGTATGAACACAAAAAGGCCCTTTACTCTCAAATGTTCACAAATTTGTGTAAATCTGTCAGTGAGAACTTCTCCTTTGCCAAGATAATCCGTCCACCTCACAGATGTGGCAAATCAAGATGCAGATAGACAGCATGATTACTGCACAGGTGTGCCTTAGGCTGCCCACAACAAAAGGCCACTCTAAAATGTGCAGTTTTATCACACAGCGTAATGCCACAGATGTTTGAGGGAGCGTGCAATTATCATGCTGACTGCAGGAATGTCCACCAGAGCTGTTGCCGGTGAAATGAATGTTCATGTTTCTAGAATAAGCTTTCATCAAAGGCATTTCAGAGAATTTGGCAATACGTCCAACCGGCCTCACAACCACAGACCACGTGTAACCACACCAGACCAGGACCTCCACGTCCAGCATCTTCACCTCCAAGAAGAGATCAGCAATAACCAGTTTACAGTAAAAGTAAACTGCACATTTAAGAGTGGCCTTTTATTGTGGTCAGCCTGAGGCACACCTGAGCAATAATCATACTGCCTAATTAGCATCTTGATATGTCACACCTGTGAGGTGGATGGATCATCTCTGCAAAGAAGAAGTCCTCACCAACAATTAAATTCACTTTTTTTACACAGTGTCAAGTCACAACAGAAGTCGTCTCAGGGCATCGTACAAAAGTGTTCGCATCAGTGTTTCCTCTACCATTATTCAAGGAGGGCGCCCTGCCCTGTCAGCTGAACCGAGCACCCCGCCTACCAAACCCCCCACCCCCACACAGCTCCACCGCTTCAGGACGGGGAGCGGACATCAGCAGACTCCAAACACCGCAAGCCTGGTCTTAGATCTTTGAGTTCAGATCATGAAAAATGGGAGCAAGAACAAAAAAAAAAAAGAGTTGAGTTGATATTTTTGTTCAGTGTACGGTTCACATCTAACTGCACAGATGGGAGCAGATTTTTAATACACAACATGTGTGGTACAATAAAAAGCACAAAGATGCAGAAAAAAAGGTAATTAATCTGTAAATTATATTCCACATCTTAACATACGTCAAGATTATTTTTGTGCTGTTGAAAGAACTTTGTCATTATTCCTGAACATTAATAATGCTAGCGACAACAATAAAAAATAAAAAAAAGAGATTAAAAGATAAAGTCTCCTGGAACGTTTACCTGTCGTATAACCTGTGTGTCATTGTCGTCTTTGATGGAGAAGATGGGGAAGTCAAACTCCTCGTAGGACAAACTGTTGCCCAGAGGGTTCCACACCGTCACGTTGCAATGAGCCAGGGTCGGGTCGTAGTCCTCTGAATACACCCCTGATGAGGGGAAATCAAAACAAAATACCCGTAAAGACAATTTTTATTAAATGTAGAACGCATCAAAAGGTGTTCTGGACATTATGTAAATAATATGAAGCTAAAAGTTGAAAATTGAATTGGTGTATTTTTTGTCCATGCCATGTAAAACCCACATGATGAGCTTTTGCTACTTTATAATACAACTCAGTGAACTCATAAGGCAATTATTCATTTAAAATACTTTTTATATTTAACTTTTAGTATCTACAAAATTAAATTGATGCTTACATGCAAAAATATTAATGTTTGCACATATTTTTTGTGCTATATAATCAAAAAACTGGCAAAAAATAATTTAAATAACCACCAAAAATTGAATCACAATCACATTTAAATTAATATGAAGATAATATTCTGATGATAACTTCACTTAAGGTGTTAAGTATTTTAAAGGTATTGTATTGTTACTGTCACTCATTTCAAAAGATGTCTGTCGGAATTTCCTTGCCTACCTGTGTTCTCATTGGGACAGGTGTTGTGTGGAGAGAAGCCGTCTGGTGGATTTGTGATCGGCGCAACAGCAACCACTCCGGCCACTCTGCTGGAACCGTTCTTCAGCTTCATCATGATGGATCTGATGATGAAGGACACAGGAAATCGTTCAGGTCAAAAGCAAGTTACTCTTTTGAAACGTAGTTCCATTTTTATTAAGTGCATAAGTGGGACGTGTCAAATCCTTTCGAGTTACAGTTTATATTAACACTGTTATGATATTTCTTATTTAGACTGGGCCTATGGTTTTGATCTGATCAGAGACGGGATTATAATGAAATTATGACCCGGTTCTGACTGGGTTAAACTGGGCCAGCAGCTCTCAAGAGAGTCTCCCTGGGATTCAATATCAGTCAAATAGTTTAATCTGCTTGCCACATCACGTAGAAAGGCTTTGAAGCACCGTCTCATATTTTTCCTAACATGTCAGTCCACATAAGACCACACTTAGACACGCCCCCTCATACACTGACAGGTTGAGCAGCCTAGGACCCTATAAAGGAGTAATGAGAGGAGACATCGAGGCTCTTCCGGGTCTGTGAACGCGTCACAGTCCTGAGGGTCCAGCGTTGTAAAACTGTAATCTTTTTCCTGCCTTTTTTAATATAATTGATAAAACTTAATTGACGTCTCATTGATTTATTGATAGTACGAGTTGCCACTTCTGAGAGAGATAGAACCAGAGGAAGCGGTGGGGGCTGGCTGAGGGTCCAGGGTCAGAGAGGAAGCCTGAGCCCCACAGCTAGCCGTAGCTAGCTGCAGTGACTGACGACCCGCAGTCAGCTCCCAAAACGCAACAACACTTTTAACTGTGCTATACATATATTTTTATTTATTGTTTAATAAGACAAGAACATAATGAGAAAAGGGAGATGATGAGGTTTACTCTTATTCAGAACCAGCGTGAGACAGATTAACTGTACCTTGTGAATAAAGGGGACTCCAGGATAACCACGTAGGGAGGGTTGGGACCAGTGCGCAGCACCCAGTCCAGGTTTTCCTCTGACTCAAGCAAATGGAGCACTCCCACATCACCCGACAAAGATGCTGAAAACACAAAATAAAATATATGTAACTACAAAAAAAACAACAACAAGTGTGTTTAATGAAAAGCTTTGAGAGATGATTCAGTGTGTGCACCAGACATCTACTGTTGCTGAAACACTTTGGGTATAAAACCTATAAAATAAAACTGTTGCTAGAAGACCTTTTCTAGTTCAACAGTAAAAAAAAAAACAGATTGTAACAGCTGTTGATGCAACAATATTTATTACAAGAAAGTTTGCTTCTTGTCTTCAGAAAGTGACAGCTTCCAACCACAAAGATAAAACTGCATTTATCTCAGCATTTAAAATACTAAACACTTGGAACAAATACTTGTCTGTAGTAAAACTCCTGTTTATTTTAATCACAACACACACCAACATACAGCAGCACACATCTTACAACTCAAACTGGATTAGTTTTAAACACCAAAGTTCCCTTTTATAGACTATTTTAGTTAACCACTTGAAGAAAATATGTGATCTATTGTTAAGATAAATGTGTTGCAATACTCACACTGGCAGCCGATTTGATGAGTTGCATTAAGCAATCGCACACATGGGGAACTGTGGTTCAAATTCACATAAATCTTGTTTTCCACTGAGTTACAACGGACTCCTGCAAGGAAAAACAAATTAAAAAATAATGGCATCAAAGTTAAACAAAAACTAGAAAATTTAAGAAACATTGTTTAAGTCATTGTTTAACATTTTACCTTAAGAAAAAAAAAAAGTGGTTAAAGAGCAACTACGTTTCAAGACTTCGCTATCATTTTATTTTCAGCTTCTGTAGTTTTGTGGAAAATCTTTGCTGGAAAACATCAAAACGTTTAAAAATAAATTTGAGAAGCATTCTACAAGATGTTATCCCCACATCACCTTAATCTCCAAGACCAAAAAAAGTTTCTTCATATTTAATGTCTGACTTTAGACACTTTTTCCAGACATTACTTCTTAAACCTCCATTTGTTAACCATCTGAGTAATGATCACCTATTGTCAAAACAAAAAAACGGTACTCAAAGGAACTTCCTTGGGTCAAACAACAATTTACGTACAAAGGATAAATGTGGAACTCCCTACCTACAGATTTGAAACTGATTTCTGACTGATTTTAGATTAAGACTGAAGCATTTTCTGAAACAGAACCATTTTTGTAGTCATGAATAACTGCCACCCTTTTAACAATTTTATTTTTATCTATTTTAATTCTGTTTTATGAATTTTCCTAATAGTGTAATGTTTTGCACATTTTAAACTGCACATTGAACTGTCTATTTACCTAAAAACCAATTTAGACTGGCATTGCAAATTAGCCTAGGCTATAAATGTTTTAGTGTATGTCATGTGTTAATGTTGGTGCTTATCCCCTATACAAATAAACAATAAAAAGAAAAGACAATGAAATACGGGTATCAGCGATTATCTAAAGAACAACGAGAAGTGGGTTTAAATTAATCATATATTCAATAATGTATTCCAGATTTTATTTTTGGAGTACTATGACGTTTGTCTCCTTCTAATAAAGTCCAAGATATGAGTTTTCATTACCACATCCTGCTCGGACTTAATGAATACTACATAAAGAACACTTTCAATCAGATAAAACTGCACCAGTGGATCATCTCATCTTTTCTGAAACTAATCTATATAGGGGACAGGTCTGTTTAGATTTTTGTTCATAACTCATCACCATCAATGAGACACTTGTTCAAAAAACAAATTCATTCTAGAGCGAAACACATGGGCTGAATCTAAACAACAATATCAAGCGACAAAAGTATTTCTTTAACAAAAAGACAAGACTTTAGTCAAAAGGAAGTGAAAGGAGATCATGAGAAATGATCCATGATGTAACTGTACCTTTGAGGCTCTGGGTTTGTTTGAATGCAAAATAAACTCATGCACCCAATGCTAATGGCAGACTGTGGGATTGTCTAGATACCATCTTTGGATTATTGTAGTTGATTAAAGTCTCCACAGTAATGTACAAAACTGGGCGAGAATTCATTAGGAAAAACAAGCGACTGTGGATTAAAACAACATTAAATAAATGTCGTTTACTTGGGTTAGTTATTTGTTCATGCCATAAGTGCACAATAGTAAAAACAAGTTTTTGAGTCGTTTTAATGGATTGTGGGCGATTTAAATCGCTCGTGTCTATAATGTGTGTGGCAGTTGTATGAACATCTAACCAATAAATTCGCTTTAATTTAGTGTGGCTTGACACCAACTCGCTGAAGTTTCGGGAGGTTGCTCCAGGGAAATCACGAGCAGTCACGCTGATGATGATGATGCCAAGTTATTCTTCTGAAGGGGGCAGACTTCATTTAAAGTCAACCTACTAAAGCTTAATAAGCAGATCATTTTAAGTTTAATGTTAATTAAAATATATAACAATGACCCCGCAGACTTGAACTTTATTGTTAAATTTGTATAAAAAGAAAAACAAGCATCCAAGGGAAGTAGGGAAGCTGCTGTTAGCGCTAACTAGCATAGCATCCGGCTAACCCGGGCACAAAGAAGTCCTTTAAGATAAATCCCGGAAGACAAACACGCTTCCATCGGTGGCAGATAAGTGGCAACACAAGCTCAACAGTGTACAAATTCAACTTACCTACGAAAAACAAACAAACTAACAAGTTAAAGACCCATTTGCTCGACAGCAGATCCATCTTCCTGGTTTGAAAAGCAGAAAAACACAACAGGAAGTAGAGATCCGGGAAACATTCGTCTTGCGCTGTTTGGTTCCGCTCCACTCAAATCTACGAGAAGCTGTTTAAGAAAATAATCCATTATTGCTTTCACATCGACTTTGGAATAATTTAGGAGAATTGGTTTTAATTTAAAATGGAAAAAAAAACATTTTAAAGAAGTAGTAGTTTTTAGAATGATAGTTTAATTAAAATACTGACTAGGTGTTTTGTAAACTACAGCGTAAATCTTAGTACTACCGAAGGAGTGAACTTTGCCTTTTTTATATCCCTTATGACTACATTTTGGTGAACCATCACTAATCTGTTTCACGTAAGCGCTTTGGTAACAGCTGCTGTTTTAAATGTGCTTTATAAAATTGGCTTGACGTATTATAAAAATAAAAAAAAACACCTCAGACTGATTGCATTTACCAGTTATCACATAAAGGAAAACCACAGAAACATGAAACCAGTGCAATTGTCAGAAACAGGACTTTTATTATAGTTTTTCCAGACACAAGTAGCATTGCCATGCATTTTGACTTTATATTTATTATACTCGGACAAAGTCAGTAGCATTTATACAGAGTGATACTACAGCGGTCACACAGAAAAAGCTAACTGTACGATTAAATTTAGTTTTAAGGAACAACCTAAAGAAGAGAAGAGGTTAACATCACTGAAACAAATTTATCTCAACTCCCAATCATCATGTCGATAATCTTTTCTGTAAAGTATATCTTGATGAGGCCTGCAGATCCGTTTCTAGTCTTAGCGGAACTGGAGTGGACTCACACGCAGGCCAATCACATCCTTACCGATCTCTGTCACCTAGAAGAGAAGGTGAAATTCAAGGTTAGAAAGTTTTAAAAGAAAGTAACAAGTAAAACAACCACTAAAGTCATTTACTACATTTATCTGATGTTTTTATTGTATATTTAAGAAAACACCAAAGACAAATGTGTTCACTTCCAACTTTCTTTGCCATGTTAAAGAACAGAGATCTATAAAAAATAATATTTTATAGTTATACAACGTTTAGATTATTAAGACTTGTTGTTTGACAACAGGATAGTTCAAGTTTAAGTTAAAGACTTGAGTCCTACTTAAAGATCCAATACGATCATTTCCAGCAATATAAATATAGGTTTAGGAATTTACTGGACTAGATTTACAAGTTTTAATGTTCAACAAAACATCTTTTGGCATGAGATGTGAAACAACTCCATGTGCAAACACTTTTTAGACTGTGTTCCTCGAGGTGCACTGTGTTAAGAGTTGCATTCGGGCCTAAAAAATCCGACCCGGCCCAGCCTGAGCCCATATTTTTTCCAAGTCCGACCCAAAATAGACTGCGATTATAGGCCGGAACCCAGGAAAAAAATAAAATAAATTAAGCTTTTACTGCTTTTGTAAACAAATCAGTTTGAGAAGATGGTTTTAAAAACATATTTCAAAAAAAAAAAAAAGATTTATTGTTTTTTAACAAGAGTCAGCAGATTATTAGTTATGATAATATTATAGTTAACGGTCGGCGGATGCATGCCGCGCGCGTCCGCTGACCCAATAAAAAGCCAGACACTGACCCAGCACATTATTTTGACCCAGGTTAGAAAAGACAGCTCTACACTGTGGGGGGGTGCTACGCGAGTATGGGATTTGGGGCCTGTTGCTAGCAGACATTCAATCCCTATACAAGCAGTGCAAGAGTTTGGTTCACATTAGTAAACAGGACCCCTTCAGGGTGGGAGTCGAACTCTGCCAGGGCTGCCGTTGTCACCGATTCTGTTCATAACTTATGGACATAATTTGTCGGTGCAGCCAGGGGGCGGAGGGAGTTCGGTTGAGAGGCCTCAGGATTCCATCTCTGCTCTTTGCAGATGATGTGGTCCTGTTGGCGTCATCAAGCCGTGATCTTCAGCTCTCACTAGAGCGGTCTGCAGCAGGGTGTGAAGCGGCTGGGATGAGAATCAGAACCTCCAAATCCGAGGCCGTGGTCCTCAGTCGAAAAAGGGTGGATTGCTCTCTTCAGGTCGAGGGTGAAGTTCTGCCTCAAGTGAAGGAGTTCAAGTATCTCGGGGATTTGTTTACAAGTGAGGAAAGAATGGAGCGTGAGCTTGACAAACAGATTGGTGCAGCATCTAAAGTATAGTGGACTCTGGGCTGGTCCGTTGTGGTGAAGAAAAAGCTGCGATGTAAAGCGAAGCTCTCCATTTACCAGTTTGGTCTACGTTCCTACCCTCACCTATGATCACAAGATCTGAGTAGTGGCTGAAAGAATGAGACTACAGATACACGCGGTTTAAATTAGTTTTCCTCACAAGGTAGCTGGACTCTTCCTTAGAAATGGGGAGAGAAATTCAGTTATGCATAAGAGACTGAGTAGAACCGCTGCTGCTCCACATCAAGAGGAGCCAGGTGAGGGAGTTCAGGCATCTGTAAGGACATCTCATGAATACCTCCCTAGGGAGGTACTTTGGGCATGTATGACTGGGAGCCCAGGGAAGACCCAGACACGTTGGAGAGACTGTTTTTCAGCTGGCCTGGGAATGTCTTGGGGTCCTCCCAGATCTAGAAGAGGTGGCTGTGGAAAAAGATGTCTGGACCTCCCTGCTTAAGCTGCTGCCACTGCGACCCGACTCCAGAACAAGCTGAAGGTAATGAACGGAGGGATAGTTATTTGTTACTGTGCATTTTTTTTTCCATTCAAAAACAGACCTCTTTACTAAACCACAAAGATAATTAATGATTAATAATAATCATGAATGATGCAGGTTTTATATAGGAACAGTAATGATGGGCAAGGAAGTTGAAACTGAAGGCATATTTCAACCATCAGTTAAATTAAAAAAATTACATTTATCAGTACCACTAAAGCAACCTTAATCTCCAGTGTCATTATACAAGCTCAATATTATAATTTAGAGGATTTTTTTTTTAGTTTGAAAGGTTGTGCAAGGTTGTCTTAGTCTACCTGTGTGACCCTGCAGATCTGGCCTTTGTAAGGGGGACAGTAGCAGGCTCCAGACAGTGGGCACTTCTCAACAGGACGTCCACGGTACAGGGGGACGAAAGAGGCAGCACACAGATCAAAAGGATTGTGGGGATCGTAGTTCAGCTGGTGGGTGTCCGTCAGGGTCTTCTCACAAGCAGCCAAAATTTTGCGGGTCTAAATCGCAAAAGAGTTTATTCAAATTTAGATACATAACACTATGCAGGCGTACATCTGAACATTAAAAACAAAAAAGAAAAGCTGTGACAACCTGCTGAGCAACATCGGGCTTTGGGCCGAGCTCGAGGAGGCGTCGTGCAAACCCTGCAGCCATTTTGAAGTTGCGAAGTTTGAAGAAGAGGTTGAGGGCCGTGCGCAACACCAGCACCATGTGGACCGGCTGGAGATTACAGTGGGTGAAATATGCAGCCATCTGCAAAACATAATTCAGAAAAATACAAAGTATGAGGAGCAAAAAATGTTCGAGCCATTTAAATCCAACCAAGGTCAGTGATGGTCACGTGTCTGTCGTGGAAAAAAAACAATTCACAGACGATCGGGTGTAGTCTTCATCAAATCTTTAATTTGCCGGCAAATGAGCGAACGGAGAGAAGTTTTAGTCTGCCCGTTCTTCTGGCATCAATTCTGAGCCGTCTCTACATTGCTAAGTTACATCAGTTGTTTAAATGTGGAGGGTGATAAACATATCTGGCAACCCACATAGATCGCCACAGAATGATCATATCACACTTGACTTTCAGTTTCACAATCACACAGAGTTAAATAGGGAACTGTGAAGTGCACAGGAAAATAATTTTGTACAATACATAAACACTGGAGGCAGATCAATAAATATTCTTCCTTCACATCTTTACCTCACAAATCCTCTTCTGCTGTTCCAATGTCTCTTTGGGCAACTTCTTCCTCTCAACCTCCATGCTCAGACCCACTATATACTCTTTGCATATAGTGAGGAGCTGTTGAGCCTGTAAAACATCCAACATCTGTAAGCGCATCTCAGAAACGGTACCAATAATCACGATGTACTGACTAACAGATTAGACTCGACGCAGGCTTGCTGCTCACCTCGGCAATCTCCTGTTTGTTATCGACCACCAGCAGAGGAACAGAAAGCAAGACGGCTCTAAAGCGCTCCACAGCTTCTTCAAAGCGCCCAGATGTGGTCAGCTGGTAGCACTGCTGCAAGCGGGAAATGAGATCAGAGAGGCGCAGCCCAACCGCGGGCAGCCCCTGCTTCGCCCCACAGTCCTAAAAAAATAAATAAATAATAAATCACACAGAAGAACGACAGTTTAGGATACAAGTTGTTCAATAAAACCGTTTACATGATTACATCTGATCATCTAAAACGCCCGATGTTCTACAAAACACATCCACGAAACGAACAGCTATACCTTCCAGTTCCTGTGAGGATGACTACGCAGACAAGGCAGCGAAGGCAGCCCCAGGTAACAGGTGCGCCCTCTGGAGAATGTCTGCATGAACAGGGACTTGTAGGGGTCAAAGTTCACAACTCCAACCTGGTCATGAAGCAGCTGTGGAGGGAGTAAAGCATTACGTTGATGCTTGAATTCACTGCACGTAAACACATTAAGGAGGCGGGGAAGCCTGGAGAATATTGGTATGAGCGTACCCTCATAGCAGTTTCAAACGAGCCAGCTAAGATGTGGTCCACGGGCAGCTGGGAGTTGTTGCACCACATCTGGGTCGGGCTCATACCCTTAGTAGGTGGTACGAAGAACCCGTCTTCCGCTCCTCCACCTGCTCCCATCGGCACGTCCTGTTCAAATCATCCACATGTGAAAATTCAATATTCCTCAACGTTTTATTACTTCCTCCAAGTTACTGCTACTTTTTGGTCAATTTAAACAATAAGTTGCGTTGACACCAACACTGTGTGGCATTTATTGCATTTTTAGTGTTCGTCTTGATTTACAGGTAGTAGTATTTGTATTGTTTCTCCTCTCACCAGTTCTGGAGGAAGTTCCACATCTTC